GAGAATCCAAAACTGTTGCTATATATTCATTTACTGCAGCCTCCCCATAACACGTCAGCTCAATGGAGCATAAAAGACCTCCTTTGTCTCTGTTATCACTGTGTCTTGAGGGCCAGGACAGTGTCCTGCCCGCAGCAGGATGTCGATATACATTTGCTGGGCACACGACTGAGGACACTGTGACTTCCAGGGGCTCTGCTCCAAGCTGGAGGCTCGCCTGGATTGGGTGATGATGATAAAGACTCGAGCTTCGGCCACCTCTGCTCCCTCCCTCCAGCCTGGACACCCAGCACACAGGGCTGGCTGGTGGGGTAGACTCACTGGAAATGGAGGTGTAGACGGCGAAGGCTCTGAGGCTGGTCATCTCCTTCCTGCGGGTCATCTCCACACGCGTGCAGAAGATGTTCTCCCAGGCGTACAGCTTGAGCAGCTTGATGCCACGGAGCATCTCGTTGGTCTGCTTCAGCCTCTCGTTGGAATACTCCTGCCAGGGGACACCAAGTCAGAGAGGGGTTTCCTTTGCCCCTGGCCCAGCCAAGAGGAAGGAGCCAAGTCAATGCCCTCATCACTTCACAGGCAATGCCCAGCTCCCGAGCCCATGGGGACGCTCCCTTGCTTTCTCCACTCATCCCCTCCCACAGACAAAGAAACGGAGGCCTGGACAACCAAGTAGCCTGCTTAAGGTCAACGATAGTGTGGATATATGTGTGTATGGCTGTTTGGTGGCATCTGGGGGAAGAGTGAGGAGCCTCGCTGATGTACAGGGAAAGGGAGCAAGCAGCCGCATGGGGGAAGGATGGGGAAAAGGGGCGCGAGCACCCTGGGGACGCTCACTCACCAGTGTGCTCCGCTGGGCCTGGGAGAGCTTGGTGGCCACAAAGTACTGGACGGGGGCCAGTAGGATGATGACAGCTGCCCCAATTAAGGCACTGACTCCAAGGATGTAGTAGAGGAGAATCACACCCACGACGATCTGAGGGAGGGTCATGGGGGTGAGTTTCCTTTGACCTGGTAGTCGCCCTGGGGGAAGCGGTGTTGGCAACCCCTTTCCCCAGGCCCCTAGAGAGGGACATGCCTTGGTGCCCAGGTTTCCGAGTTGTCCCCAGGGGCCAGAGGAGGAGGTGTGACAAAGCAATTTCAGAAAGAGGTATTAACATGATGGGCTCTCATGCAAGCAGTGGCTTTCTCGGCTGATAACAAACTGCATTTATCTGTAAGCCTGCTGAACCATTAACTCTCTCCAAATCTACCTTCCAGATGGAAGTCTCAGAGCTGAGGTCGCACAATGAGTGTAACAGCACCTTTTGTTCTGTTGGCTGGCTGGCAAGGCTGACGGTTCCCTCACACTGGGGAAAAAGTGACACACGAGCAAAGGAGCACTGCCGTATCCATGCCAGACAAAACCGGTCCAGGGTCTGAGAGTTCAGTTTTCATTCTCAGGCTCCTGGCATCTTTTTCAAAATAAAATATGAACTGTCTTCTATTACACCAATTATTACATATATAAGAAAATGAAAATGACCTCTTAAATTTATGACATCGTGTAGAGTGGTTTTTGGATGAAAATACAAGTTTTTATAATTCTTAGAGGCATACACATTTTATAATCTATAATACATATACACATATGTACATGAAGGCTGGTATCTTTAATGTTTTAGTGAATCTGGCAAGTATTCTCTGAAAAGAGAATTATTCTGGCTTTATGCAAATGACTGCCTACTTCTGAATATTTATGAGAAGTGTAAATTACTCTTGCCAGCCCCTGAAGCATCAAGCTGACAATTTCTCAGGTTGCCTTCAAAGGCAGACAGCTCTAAATTCAGGGATTATTCTAGAGGAACAGATGTGCTGTCTTCCTTAATTGGAAAAAAAAAAAAAAGTCTGCCTGGGTTGGCCTTGCACTCTACACCAAATTGGCACTAAGCTCCTTGCACTACCTCGAGGGCAGAGGTGGGCGGTTTTGTAATTCCTCTTAATCACAGAATGCCTCTTGTATTAGCGGGATCTTAGGGGCTGGTAAGTGACCCCTTTACCACCTGCCTCCCAGTGTTTCACTGATGTTAAATGCTGACACGGGGTGCAGAGAAGCACGTTGGGAAATAAAGAAACTCCTACTCCTGCCAGGCTCCGCTTCCATCACCCTACCCAAAAATTATCCCTGGCATCCAGTGTTTTCATTAGCTGTCCTCAGATGGAGGCAATCAGGGCATATTGTTCAGCGGCTTGGGTAGAGCCAGACACCAAGGAAGCTCCAAGAGCACTCCCAGAGTCACCACCATGGCACCTGCTGGGGGTCGGTGCCTGAACCCCCACCACGTCCAAGTGCTGGCAGCTGCTGGAACAAGACCTGGAGACACAGCTGCTGCTGATGCCAGGCTCTTCCTCCTCCTACACCCACCCCTTGTCATGCTCCCTAAATTCTTCTGTCCACTCTTCTATTCTGAGGGGTCTGAGTGGACCTTACAGGAGAATATATCAGAAAGCAGCGATTCTGAGTACGCAAAGCAAGTGTGGGGAATACAAGGGCTACGTTAGCTCCTATTTACAAGTTAGGAAAGCGATCTAGTATAATAGTGGGGAGATCATTGTCCCCGGAGTCTGCAAGCCTGAGTTTGAATGCAGTCTCAGCACTTAGCTGTGCAATCTTAGGCAAGTTACTTAACCTCTCTGAGTTTCAGCTTCTTCATCCTTACCATGGTGATTTTAATGCCCACTTAGCAGGACTTCTGTGAATATTAAATGAATATATATGATAAGCACCTAGAATAATACCTGGCCCATAGAGATCAAACCAGGCGGCGACTCTTTTCTTAAACAAAGAAACAAACAAACAGGCCTCATGGGAACTCTGTCACTAGGGAAGCACGGAAAGGAGATACTTGGGTATATGGCACAGCTACCGGCTCACTGTGTGCCCCACCCCTCCAGTGCCCATGGGATGAGGAATCAAAGAAGTCCCCACTATTGCCGAGTTCCTTAACACGGCATCCAAGAGCTTCAGGGGGCCAGTCCAGCTCCTGAAATCGTAGGCAAAATGTGTGAACACACATTTGTTTTTCTGAGAAGCTTTTATTAGACTGTCAAAAGTATGTGTAGGTCAGAGGTTGCCTAGGGCTGGGGGAGGGGATGAGAAGTGACCACCAATGGGTACGGGTTTCCCTTTGGGGTGATGAAAGTGTTCTAAAAGTGTGACAATGCTAGGGGCGCCTGGGTGGCTCAGTCGGTTAAGCCACCGACTCTTGATTTCAGCTCAGGTCATGACCTCACCGTTCGTGAGTTCGAGCCCTGTGTGGGGCTCTGCGCTGACAGTGCGGAGCCTGCTTGGGATTCTCTCTCTCCCTCTCTCTGCCCCTCCCTGGCTCACTCTCTCTCTCTCAACATAAACAAACATTAAGCAAAAATAAATAAATAAACTTAATAAAATTGTAATGATGGTCGCACAACTCTGAATATGCTAAAACTCACCGAATCATACAGATTAAATGGGTGAATTATATCTTAATGAAGCTTTTATCAAAAAAAGTATATGTGACCAAAAAAGATTACAAATCAAGGAGAGTTCCCGGGGATAAAGGAGAGGGGCTCCTGAGCTAGTTTCAGTATTTCCAAAGGCGACCCAGGCTGTACGCGAGATCCTGGCTAGGTTGAAAGGATTGGATCAACTCCACGTGGGAACACTGGGTCTTGAGGGCTGGTTAAAGCTCTAAGTGGCAAAGTTATAGCCAGCCTTTAAGGAATTAAAAGTGGAAAACCAAATGATACGTCATGATAAATAAACAAAGGTAAGTAGTGGAGATAAAAACTACCACCCCCTGGGTGTTGGGAGGGTTAACTGCATAAGTGACAGAGGCTGGGGCAAGCAAAGATTATTTTTTCTTTTAATTTTTTTAATGTTTATTTATTCTTGAGAGAGAGAGAGAGAGAGAGCGCACAAGCAGGGGGAAGGGCAGAGAGAGAGACACACACACAGAATTGGAAGCAGGCTCCAGGCTCCAACCTGTCAGCACAGAGCCCGATGTGGGGCTCAAACCCATGAACAGTGAGTTCATGACCTGAGCTGAATGAAGTTGGATGCTTAACTGACTGAGCCACCCAGGTGTCCCTGGGGCAAGGGTTATTAGTATTAGTGTTGTTAGCAATGATGTACGTGCAATAAACGTTATAAATAGTAGTAATGATAATCTGGTGGACAAATGAAATCTTAATGAAGATTTTGGTGGACAAAGTCTTTCAAAAGAGGTTGTTTAAGGGGACATACATAATAGAAAGTGTTCTTGTGGATAAAAGACTGGTAACTATATTAGATGAACTCTCCAGGCCCTTCTATGGCTTCTTTTTTTAAAAAAAGTTTATTTATTTATTTTGAGAGAGAGAGAGAGAGAACTCTCACAAGTGGGGGAGGGGCAGAGAGGGTGGGAGAGAGAGAATCCCAAACAAACTCTGCACTGTTAGCATGGAGGCCGACATGGGGCTCTACCTCATGAATTGTGAGATCAGGACCTGAGCTGGAATCGAAGTAGGGCACTTAACCAACTGAGATACCGAGGTGCCCCCTTTCTATAGCTTCTGTAGTCACCAATCCATCTTGGTAGAGCTGGGGGGAGGACGGTGATCTAGACATGGATAAGTGGTAATGGGGGATGGCATACAGAGCTGTCCCCATAAAAAGGACCACCAGATTCCCTGCCCTACGTCCCCATCAAGATGCCTAGCTGACTCTCTGTTCTATTTTCCTTTAAAGTCTTTCAAATATAAGTTTTACAGGTAAGAAGGACCAATAAAAGTCACTTGAGATTAAGTTTTGTGGAATCTGCGTCCTAAGAAGCAATGGATTCTGAACTGGTAAAGTCCTCACTCACACCAAAGTCTGCAATTTCCAGGGATCTGATATTTACTTAGTGACTGCTCTGGGCCGGGCACTCTGCATGGTGCTTTACTTACATCGTCTAACTGACTCGTCATAGCAACACCAGAGGGTAGGAATCATCCCCTTTTCATAAATGAGGAAATTGAGGTTCAGACAGGTTAAGTATTTGAATCAACTGGTTTCACCAAAGTCCAGGCACTTTCCTCTATACCAGGCAGCCTCTGTGGAGCCTGCAGGGGTTCTGGGATTCACCAGAGTGAAGCCAAGTCCATGGTCAAAGCTCCAGATGAGAGACAGAGCAGACCAGACCAGGAGTCAGGAAAACCACGCCAAGGATTCTCCTGCTATCGTTGGGGGAGAGTGCACCTCCTTCAGAACCATCCCCAAAGGTTGTTTGGCTTTAGAAATAATCATGTCTTTGATCTTCAAGAACAACACGTGCTTACTTGAGAATTTAGAAATGCATAAAGAAAATAAAAGTCACTCGTAACCCCACCATGTGGCCTTCTAGTTCTTTTTTCTGGGTGAGTCTGTGCCAATGTGTACACGTACATATATTCCAATTTAGCGTGAAGCTCACTGCATGTACTATTTTGTAACCTTTTTGGCTTAAACATCCATCATGAACACTTTTCAGTGTAATTAAGTACTTTGTTGTAACATAGCTTTTAATGTCTGCAAAAATGTTCCACATATGATTATCCCATAGTTTTTTTTTTT